CGTCTCGTCCGTGCCTCGTGGCCCGCCATCACTCAGGCGCCTCTCACGGGCGTGGAGCGCTCACGTTGCTGCTCGCCCAAGTTGCATCCCGTGCAGGTGGCAGCTGACGTGTTTTTACAAGTCTAGATCAGCTACATGCATAGAGTGTCACCCGTCCGGTTGTGCACTCCTGTCATGTTCATCTGGACGACGTACACCACGGTCATTCGTGTCTACTTTGTTGGATTCCGTGAAGATTGTCATCGAGTATACACGTTTTTCCGCCGATTGAGCAACGGGTTGCAGCATCGTCCATTCGTATCGCAGCATCATAGCACCATGGTTTTCATGCGGCTACACCAACTCGCGCGATGCCGTTGTGTTGCCTTTTTCGGGCCGTAGTGTTGCGGCCAGCCATACACCGCCGTCCCGAGGCCGTCCGCTTCAGGTAGTCCCCGTGGTTGCACCAACCCTCGCCTTGCCGCTGCGTGGCTCCATGGGATGCAATCCCTACCGCCGCCGCGTGGTTCTCCTTGCTGCTGCATCGACCCGCGGGCTGCCGCTGTTTCGCCCTTTCGAGCCATAGTGTTGTGGCCCTCGGTCCACCGCCGCCCCTAGGCCGTTCGAGACAGGCCTTCCCGTGGTTGCACCGACCCTCACGATGCCGCCGTGTCACCCTATCGGACTGTAGCGAGCATAGCACACGAACCTTGCCACCACCATTAGGTCTTCCCGCTGTCACTCCAACTTGTGCGTTGCCGCTGCGTCGCCCCTTTGGGCCGTAGCGCCGCGGCACGCGGTCCACCTCGCCGTCCACGCGCATCAACTATTGTGTGGTATGCGCCATGCCGCATGCCTAGGCGTGGGAACGTCACCGTCCGCGCCGGCCTTCGTCAGGCCGTCGGGTTCTTTCTCGTCTACTTTGAGCACCGCCATCGTGCTCCTATCCTAGCCACCGCAGCTCTTTTTCCAGGTTCACGGCACCTAGCTCGACACCGGCCACACTGACTCGACATCGACCACGGCGTTCCACGCACGGCTACACCGCCCTACGCTCTCGTCTACCTCGACATTGGCACAAAGGATTATTGTCTTGCTTGAGTAACCTCATCGGTTTTCACTCTAGCCACAATTTCCGCGGTGCGTCGACCGTTACGACTGTGGAGGGATATCCGTCGTGTTACCTTCGAATTATTCTCCAGTCTCACCATCTGCGTCGCTATCGTTGTGAATGCAGAGAAACATTGAGTATCATGGTTATTTAGGAAACGTAGAATAGCGTAGGATTTATTCTACATTATCTTGTACTCTAATATGATCATGTACTTTTATATATACTAGCACACATGCCCATGTGTTGCAACGGGATAATAAAATTACATGCCTCTAGCTCAATATAAGAATGGATAAAGACCCCCACATGACTGTATTCTCTAGTTCAGCATGGCACCCTTTAATTAAAGCCAAACCAGTAGATTTTGTTGTATTGGCACGTGCCCACAATTTCTTTCAATTACAATTAACCTGCATATTTTTTTATTGGCATATGGAAGCTATCACCGTTAATAATTTATGGCGCCCCTTATTCTGAACAAGCCGACTTAGCTCGATGTGCCAGATGCGGAGCAGGCCCAGAATGGGAGTGATCAAACTCACGACCTTAAAGACTTGACCACATGTTGCCAGCCACTCAAACAAACACGTCCTGCTGACCAATGGTCAGCGTGAACATTAAATAATATAATGCAACTACCAAATATACTTGGCAACATGAACAATTTTCCAAATTACGAACATTTTTTTTTGAAAATTCCATACATTTTAAAAAACACGAACAAAATTTTGAATGGAACATTTGTTGAAATTCACAAACATTTCTTCAAAGCATGAAGATTTTCTAAAATACAATATTTTTTAGTTTGTTTACAATTTTGGAAAATGGGAACATATTTTGAACCTATAGAAGAAATGTAGAAAATGTGTCTTCTGATGCAAAAAACATTTTCAACTTTCTCAACATATCACTAAAAGAAGAATATTTTTCAAATTTGTAACATTTTTTTAATCTTCAAAAAATTTGGTAAAAACACAAATATTTTTCAAAAAATTGAATAATTTTTAAAATTCAGAAGGACAAAAATTTTAAAATTGTAAACATTTTTTATAACAAACACAATTTTGGAATTCATAACATGAACTACCGAATATAATCGGCAACATGAACAATTTTCCAAATTACGAACAATTTTTTTGAAAATTCCATAGATTTTAAGACAAAGTTAGAACAAAAAATTTGAACGGAACATTTCCTGAAATTCACATAAATTTCTTGAAACACGAACCTTTACAAAAAAAATACGATTATTTTTCAAGTTGCGAACACTTTTTGAAAGTGGCAATATGTTTTGAAAATTTGGAAGATTTTTGGAAAATGTGTTTCTTTAATGCAAACATTATTTTCAATTTTTGCACATATCGCTAAAACAAAATATTTTTCGAATTTGGAACATTTGTCAAAAAAATGTTTAATCTTGCTTTTTTAAAATTAAGAACATTGTTTTAGGAAAATGGGAGTATTTTCTAAATTTTCAATAATTATTGGCGTGACAAAAGAAATCCAAAAAATTTATAGAATAGGAACACATTTTTTTAATTTGTAAGTTTTTACAAAATTTTGAATAAAAGTTGAAATTGCAAAAAAAAAAATTGGAAATTCGAATTTCGTACAAAAATGTGAAAACAAATTAGGGGAAAAAAGTGAAAAGTAGACATAGAATGTTAAAAAAAAGAAACAGGAACTACGAAGAGAAAGAAAAATAAAAAGAAAAATTGAAACATAACACAAACAGAAATGGGCCACCGAGTCTTTGGCGCCATGTGCGTAACTGAATTATTTGTCGCATCGTGCGGGAAATGTGACTTTTTATTGCTGCGTGGGCAGGGAAAACTGGGCTGACTTTACTGGGCCATAGCTCGCGCGGCCCACGCACGTAATTCTGCAGCAATCGATTTTCCTTTGCTAACAGTGAACGAAAAAAGTTTGGAAAATGTGTTTCTTTAATGCAAACATTATTTTCAATTTTTGCACATATCGCTAAAACAAAATATATATCGAATTTGGAACATTTGTTAATTTATTTAAATCTTGCTTTTTACAAAATAAGAACATGTTTTAAGAAAAAATGGAGTATTTTCCACATTTTGAACAATTATTGGCATGACAAAAGAAATCCAAACATTTTTTAGAATAGGAACACATTTTTTTAATTCGTAATATTTTACAAAATTTTGAATAAAAATTGAAATTGCAAACATTTTTTGACAATTTCGAATTTCGGAAAAAAATATGTGGAAAGTATACATAGAATGAGAAAAATAAAAAAGAAACAGGAACTACAAAGAGAAAGAAACAGAAAAAGAAATATTGGAACAGAACACAAACAGAAATGGGCCACCGAGTCTTGGGCGCCCTGTGCGTAACTGAACTATTTGTCGCATTGTGCGGGAAATATAAGTTTTTGTTGCTGCGTGGGCAGGGAAAACTGGGCTGACTTTACTGGGCCATAACTCGCGCGGCCCATGCACGTAATTCTGCAGAAATCGATTTTCCTTTGCTAACAGACGACTAAAAGATGCTCAAAAAAACAGACGACGAAAAAAGTTTAATACCACTTCGGATAGAAAAAAAAAATCTTTTAATGATGAACGGATGAAAAAATTGAAAAAATGCACCTTGCTTTATATATATATATATATATATATATATATATATATATATATATATATATATGTACAGATATAGATATAAATATAGATATAGATATGCCTACGAGGGTCAAACAATACGACAACGATTTCATCAATGTCCCTCTCTATTCCTTGTACAGCAAGAGTTTGTGGAGCTGCCGCTCCCATGGGAGAAGGCTTGAGAAAGGCTCAACAGGACGGCGCCGGTAGTTTCAGAGGAGCACCAGCGTGCTGGATCAGGAAGGACAAAGGCGACGGTGTTGCATGGGCTCGTTGTCGGTGATGTGCACGAAGCCACCGATGTCCTTGGCGAGGCATGAAATTGCCGTCCTGTCCGTGTTCGCGTGCCTGTACACGTACGTTTGGGTCAATAAATCTTAGCACAGTCCAGCCGGCATAAGGTCATAGGACTTGTTTGCGTTGCTTCGTATAGTAATGTAGTTTGATAACACAAGGTCGCCATACACCACCTGCACAAGCAGCGGTAGTCGTTGTCGAGGTTAAGGGCATGTACAATAGTTGATAAAATAGTTCTATTTTAAATTTTACATGTAATCTAGAGATGACAAAAAAAGAGTCTACGATAGGTCATCTCTTAGCCTTATCTTCAATAACTAGCAATTTCTAAAAATATGGTGAGACATATTGTGCTAAAAATCATCTCAACATTTATCTTAGGTAGCACTCCTAAGATAGCACTGTTGTACATACCCTGTTTTGTATACTTTTCTTTTTAGTTGCTGCAAAAAAATAATTTTCTTTTTAGTTTCTATTTATATCGGCCCAATTTTGTATTTTTTTAACACGAGGGGCAAAATTGGCTTTCATTTCTCACTTAACATTGTCTGTGTGTAAAATAGACAAAAATTTCGTATAGGGAACAAATTTTACCATTAGTGTGAAATAGGAAATAAAATATTTCTTTTGGCCAAGTAGGGAAGTAGATTTTGAGAATGGGGGCAAATAAGGAATTCTCACAAGACGAAATGGCTTCGTAGAGCTTCCTCACCCACTCACTAGTCGCTCCCCAACAGCAGATCTATCCCCAACCCTAACCCTAGATCCCCTTTCTCCACCCCGACCGCCATGGCTCTGCCGGCGCCAGCCTCCATCCCCATCCCCGACGACCTCCTGGAGGATATCTTCCTCCGCCTTCCCACCCTGGACACGCTCGCCTGCGCCTCTGCCACCTGCACCTCCTTCTACCGCGTCATCAAAGGCCGCGCCTTCCGCCGCCGCTTCCGCGCGGTGCACCGCCTCCCCTCCTCGGCTTCATGGACGTGGATGGATTCCACCCCGCCCAGGCGCCACACCCCTCGGCCCCGCTCGCGGGCGCCCTTGGCCCGTCCTTCGCGGATTTCTCATTCGTCCCGGCTGTTGTTACTTCCTCATCCAATGTCCAACCCGACGAGGAAGGCCCACGCTGGCGCCCCCGCGACGCCCGCGACGGCTGCGTCCTCCTTGATTGGATCTCCCTCATGAACAAAAGGGATCTCGTTGACTTCTACAATGATGGTCGCCTCCTCACGCGGACCAAACGGGAGCGATGCAACGCCGCTGACTTTCACCTTGCCATATGTGATCCCCTGTCCAGGAGGTATGTGCTGCTTCCAACCATACCTGAGGATCTGGCTGCCCGGCCGCATGATTGCCTATGGGAATTCGAGCCCATTCTTGCTCCCAAAACCAACAACAACAGCGAGGAGGAGCCCTTCAAGGTGATATGCATAGGAAGGTGCCGGAAAAAGGTCGTCCTCTTTGTCTTCCCGTCCACAACTATGCAATGGTATGTGGTCGAGTCCCCTGACCGCCTTTCTTTGGACGACATGTCCTGTTTTGACTGTGTACGTGACTGCTTCTACTGGACACATCTCTGGTTTTGGAGTGACAATTTGATGGTGCTGGACACATGCACTTTGAAGTTTTCAACCGTCAATTTTCTCACCGGCTACCATCAGCATCTCGGAGACACTGACCCGAGCTATGATAATCGGCGTCCAAATGCAGTTGTTGAGGGTAGGGAAGGATCCATAGAGATGTTTTCTCTTGTCTGTCAACACGGATCCTATGCTCTCCACCATACCTCTCTTCAGGATAATTCTCGTGAATGGAAGTTGCAGAAGATCGTACAACTACCTGGACAACATCATGCCTATTCCATTTCCACTGTGGGTGCAGCTGAGGGATTCTTGTTCTTCCAAGGTGCTCTGCCTGGCATTGCGATTGGCAATGTTGATTGTTACTCAATGGATATCAAAACTTATGAAATTGCCAAGGTCTGTATAAAGACGGTGTATATGTTTGATCGCAAATGCGCCATCCCCTACTTTAGCTTTCCACGGCTGTTATCAGAACCAACTATTTGAGCAACTAGTAAGCCCAATCATATTTTTCTTCTTGACACCGGGTGCATAGTTCGCTTGTTCTACTCAAAT